GCCCGGGCCGCCGGCAGCGTGTGAGCGGCCGGGCTGTCGGTGCGGGCTGCCCGGCGCTGGCGGGGGGCGACCCCCTATAGCGAAGCCCTCACCCCAACCCCCCCGGCAGCCCGCGGGGGGTGGGAGTGGGGATCTGAGTCTTGCCCGTTACAGAGATGGGGCGGTTCAAAAAACACTTCTGGCCCCCTTTCCCCTTCCCCCCAGGAGCTGGAGCTGGTTAGGCTCAGGGTTTAGCTTGAAGGTCATCCGTAAATAAAAATAACGGGCCTGAATTTATCACGGGTCACACCGTTCCCAACTCTGGTGTCTTGGCGTGGCTGTCTTTTTTTAATGACTTTTAACAATGCTTGAGGTGGAAATGAGGTGAACAAGTCGAATTGACGGAGAGAGAGAGAAAACTGTTGTTTTCTGGTATGAGGTTGACTGCTACGGGGTCGGTGATAGCTGGTCACCATAAAAAGCTCTCATACAAGTAGAGATTTAACGCAGCCTCAGAGTAAGGCTGTCTCTGCGTCTGTGCTTCATCTTTTGTCTTTATATTGAAGCAGGTTCCCAAATCCTTGCCTGCGTATTGCAACCTGCCAGGGTGCAGGTGAAGGCATAGTGCTCCCTTCCTAATGCTCTCCAATCGCCCAGCTCTCTGGCACGTTGTCAGTGTCCAAATAGTTGTCAGGAGCTTCTCAGCTTTTAGAAGAATGTGGTTTTAACAGTTTCGCGCCAGGCTTTTCAGATAATTAGTAATTAGTAGTAATCCTAGTAATTAGACACCTGGAAAGTGAAGGGACCTAAGCAAATTCAGTTTTCTAGTGAGAAAAGTACTTAACTTCATTAGGCAATTTTGAAAGCATGAATATAAACACAGACCTAGACGTGGCTTCATCTTTAGAAATGGAAGATAGCCCTCACCTTCCCTGAAGCCCTTCTGAGCTACAGGTATTCAGCATTCCTATTTGAAGAGTGTAAATAAAAACTGATGGTGCCCAGTGCTTTGCAGAATCAGCCTATTAATGATAGAAGGGAATAAAACCTTTGGTCTGTGAAATTAACTAGAAAAAAAAACAATGTGAATTTTTTATGTTGTCACAAAGTGAAATGTAATATGTGAAGATGTGCTCACAAATCAAGGGGTCCGATTTCTTGTCCTAGTTATACTTAATGGAAGTGTGGATTTTTTGCAACCGAGCTGTTGCAGAACTGCATTGGTCTATCTGATACTGGGGTTTGGCTTAAGATATTAAAATACACTATTGAAAGTGTCTTGGTAGTAAGTGTACTGGTCCTGGGGGCCTCTATGGATCACGGTCGTGACAGTGACTGCATGTTAAAGCGCTGCATTTCTTTCATTCCTATCAGCACTGCAAAAATACTTTACACAGGTGTATTGTGTGATGCAGTTTCATGCCTTTGTAGCCACCTCCATCTCCCATCCTTGAAGACTGACATTTTATTTCTACATGTCTAATTTACCCTGGTGAGGAAAACGTCAGTGTGTTATGGAAGCTGACTATGTACGTGCATTTGATGAGTTTTATAAATACGGAAGTTGTGGAAAAGAATGTGCTTTTTCAGAATTTCAGCTGGTGGTTTTTAGCTTACAAACCAAGAATTCGGTCCTGGTCCTGGTTCTGGCTTTGGGGCTTTTATATTTGGTGAGCATACTTTCTGCACGTTGCCTGAAAACTTAAGATACCTAAATGTATTTGGAAGGCTTTGGATCTTGCTTCTTTCAATTCTGAGTACTATTGTTTGAGAAGTTGAATGACACGTTATTTTTCTTGGCCCTTTAAAAGTTGACATTAAAAATACGCACAGCAGTTCTAAAAGAGGCTGTTCCTTGCCATGTGCATTAGGGGAACTTGTTGCTTGGAGCACTGGAGTCTGTCTTTTTAATTTATTTTTTTAACAACTGGATTCCAAAGGCTGGTCTGAGCCTTTATATTGCCTGTTCAGCCTGAGCTGCCCATCTCCAGCAGACTTCAGTGTTTGTATTTCACCCTAGTCCTGCATTAGATTGTAAGAGGACTGCTGGCTTCACGGTCCTGTTCATGCAGGTAATAATTATCCCCGCTATTTTGTTTGTTTACCTGTTCATTTTTAATAAAAGATCTCAAGGCACTGATTCTGCAGTGAGCAGATGCTGCTGTCGCACTCCGTCTGCAAAGCCCACCTAGTGGGCCCAGAGCTGGGACAGCTTACGGAGCCCGTGGTCCCCTGCCCGGGGCGTCCGGCTGCGCGGTGGGGACCGGCTGAGGCAGTGCCCAGCCTGTGCTGTGTCACCAGCACCATCCGCCTGCACGCCACGCCAGGAGGCGGTGGAAGGGCCCGTGGGGCATACGTGGAAGAAGAGCCTAGCCAGTGTCCCGGCAGCAGTGCGGTGCCAGGGACATCACCTTCCTCTGGAGCTGGGGGAAGCAGTGAAGGGGTTGAAGCTGCCTTGAAGGCGCTGCTTAGACCCTTTCTCTAAGCTAATTTCTGAAACAGAGAAGGTCTTACCACTTTGGGTATTATTTTTTTTTTTCCATGAAGAGTGGGAGGGAAGTGGTGGTGGTGGTTGTGGTAACACTGAGAGGTGCAGCTATGTGGCACGAGAGCAACAAAAGGGGACTAATTTTGGAAGGAGGGGACTCTGAGCCCCCAGGGAGATCTGCGCCTTGCTATGACGGCTGCAGTTGGATTATCCGTGTCAAAGTAGTGCCTCTTTCTCCATAGTTCCTGCCTGCCTTGTTGTTTGAATAGAGTGTGAAGCTGCAGCGTGTTTTGAATAATCCAGTTGTATTTGTGGCACGCTCAAGTGTAATTTAATGACCCTTCCTCAGTAAATGGCCGGTCTCTGAAGGCAGACTAGAGAGTGAGTTCAAAAGGTGGTGTTGCTCATCATTCCTGACTGTTACCTGGCATGACATACATCAGCTGGAACATCGCAGAGTTGCTGTGAAGCTGCGACAGCGCATTAATTTTTCCTAAGTACCGTTTGCCTTGGAGTTGTTGCCAGCAAGAAAGGCGAGCACGGGATCGCTGGAGGATGACACCAGAGAGGGCTGAGCTGATAAGCAAAAGAAAGAGAATAGCAGCTGCGCTGGAGTTACCAGCTTGGAGGCTCGTTTGCATCTGCAGTGCTCCCAGGGAGCAGGTCCTGTTGGGAATAACAGCTGCAGTAATTAGCAAAGCTTTTCCGTATCTCCCTAGGGAAGATGGGCAAGGGTGATCACCCAGGGAGCTTGCCTCCTGGGAGGGAAGGGGACAAGGTCCCCACACGGACTGGCTGGGGCCTGGGGGGGATGCAGTTTCCCTCTGTCCTGCAGGAAAGTGCCTCTGCTGTAACAAACCTCAGGGAAGGCTGACATGCTGCAGGCACAATTTGGGTCTGGAGCTGGAGCTCTGGGTGCTCTTCCAGCCTGCTGAGAGGAACCTGTAGAACAGGAGCACCCAAGCTCAAAGTTCAGTGGCTGTTGTCCCTGATAGAAAGGGTTTGCTGTCTTTTTCCAGTACGGCAAGAGATACTGGCGTTAGGGGCTCTGGCCCTGTGTGCTGGTGACAGAGAACCTCCGTACTTCAGAAAGCACCGGGGTGATGACTGTTGATCCCATTGCCCTCAGTTGAGGGCTGTCCGTGTCCTTTGCACAGCCCCCCAGCATCTCTGGATGGCAAAGAGGGACCCACACATGGCCCTGGGACAGGGGAGCAGAGCTGAAGGGGTCCCTTCAGCAGGCCGACCGTGGGCTGAGGCAGGGATGGTCTCCTGTGAACTGGCTTTGGGGTGCTGGTTCCCTGTAGCACAGCAGGGATGGAGGTGCGCAAAGGGGGCTTGTTTCCCTGCGCTGGGTCAGGGAGCCCATCGGTGCAAGTCTGTGATGTCATCTGTCACCTCCCAGGTTTTTCACACTGGCCGTTTAGCTCTGCTTTTGCTTTTATACACCCGGAGCTCTTAAATGTTTAGATCCTTGGCCAAGAGTGCGCTGCTGGCAGCGCTCGATGTGGCGCGCGCAATAACCAGCAATTTCAGTGGAATTTCAGCTGTCGCGGAGTAGTGAGACATCCATGTTTATCCTTCACCTGGCCTCTGCCAGTTGGGCTGGAGGATAAGTGGTCCCAGAAACCAGAGCAGGTCAATAGATCCGTCTTGTTCCAAAATCCTAGTTAACTGGAACCAGTTGGAAACTTGCTGTAATGGAAATTTCGGTTGTGTATAATTTTTTTAACAGAACGCAGTTGATCACGTTCTTCACTTTAGTCTGCCTCCACTTTTGTTTTTTTGTCTCGTGTTTTTTTTTTGTGTATTCCAACTTTTCAAGGGGGGAATCAGGCTCACTTACGTAAAAACACATGCAGTCTCTGAATGCTGAAGCCCCGTTGTTTGAAGACTCAATCTTTTGCTCTGAAGGCTTGCGTAATAAGAGTGTCCTCAAAACAAACTCAGTCCATATACGTCCCTCTCCCAAGAGAACTTGTCTTGTGCTGCTCAGTTAGTAACATTTTCGAGGATGCTAGCCTGCAGCTTCTCCCCTAGTGTGACACACCTCTGGGCTCGGTTACTAAGGAGAGCTGTGCTTTTGTGTGTTGTGCCATGTCCCTTCACTTCAGCTCGGTATGTTACTGAGTATATTTGTGCAGCACTTCATATCATTCTTTTTTGTTTGTTTGTTTGTTTTCCAGAACACTATAATTATACATCTTCAACCGTAAATGCTGGCTTGCCTCTAAATGTGGCACATTCCTCATTGTCAACTCCATGTCATGGCCTTCAGACATCAAATCCCGTCATTTCAGTTGTCCCATCAACAAACCATCCTTCTGGATATGGAGGACATATCGACAGCGGTGCATCCGAGTATTACTTGCCACCAAACATTAGACCTAATGGAGCTCCAGCACTGGAGAGCCCTAGAATTGAGATCACTTCTTACATGGGACTTCATCATAACAACAACCAATTTTTCCACGATGAGGTTGAGGAGGCCATACCAAACACCAAGCGGTCACCTTCCACTGCCACTTTGAACTTACCAAACATTGAGGCGTACAGAGACCCATCCTGTCTGAGTCCAGCGAGTAGCTTGTCTTCCAGAAGCTGCAACTCCGAAGCGTCTTCCTATGAGTCCAACTACTCGTATCCGTACACTTCACCCCAGACCTCTCCGTGGCAGTCCCCATGTGTCTCTCCGAAGACCACTGACACAGAGGAAAGCTACCAACGCAGCATGGTGGCCTGCACTTTGCTCAACTCTCCAAGGCACTCTCCATCGACATCTCCCAGGACAAGCATCACAGAGGAAAACTGGCTGGGGGCTCGCAACTCCAGGCCCCCATCTCCCTGCAACAAGAGAAAGTACAGCCTCAATGGCCGGCAGACCTCTTACTCCCCACACCACTCCCCCACACCTTCTCCGCAAAACTCGCCACGGGTGAGTGTCACGGATGAGACATGGCTGGGGAACACCAACCAGTACACCAGCTCTGCCATTGTCGCTGCCATCAACGCCCTCACCACCGACAGCACCATAGATATGAATGATGGGATTCCCATCAAGTCGAGGAAGACCGCCATTGACCACACCCCATCCATGACTCTCAAAACTGAACCGGCTGGTGAGGATCACGGGACCATATCGCCAACTGCCGATTTGTCACCAGAAGACTTCTCCAGCTTTCAGCACATCAGGAAAGGAAACTTCTGCGAGCAGTATCTGTCCGTGCCACAGCATCCCTATCAGTGGGCCAAACCAAAGTCTCTGTCTCCGACATCCTACATGAGGTAAGGGACCCCGACTTAGGGGGCAGTCCTGTTAATATCTTTATTGCATGCTTTGTTTTCCTCCTTCACCTTCCCGTCTCGGCTTCCCACCAAATCTGCCCATCCGCTCATTCCACTTAGCCGTTTCTTGTGACACTGCCTCCATTGTTGGTGTAGTGTGACCATGAGTAAAACCTTGAAGCGTTAACGTGTCTATCCTAGGAGTTGTCCACTTGTGGGTTGTAACTGGTTATCTGCTTCCCAAGGGATGAGCTTCAGCCTGGGCAGTCTGGAAATGGGGGTATTCAGAAGCTTGTCAGGCAGCGGGACAATTTGGTACCATCAAACTTGTAGCTTTACTTAAATTGTTCATCATGTGTTAATATGTTTTTGTTGCAGGACTAAGAGATGTTCCCGTTATTGTGGCTGTTACAGGGACCTTTACTTTTACACTTGATAGGTAGTGAATAGAAAGAGAATAGGAATACGGTTCTTTTGTGCATTATTTTAACTTTTACTTTGCTTCATCTGAAAGCTTCTTACCAATCTTCTTTTCCTATCTGCGTTGGACAGTGGTTTTTCCCCTCTTCCCCAACTTTTTTATGTTTGAAGAAGAAAACCTTATTTGTCTGATGATATTATACTGGTCACATTTATTTATCACAAGAGGACTCCAGGTAGGAAGCACCACAGAATAGCCAGGATTTGACTTACATCTATTGCTTTCTCTTTTGGTCTCAGTTATTGGTCTTTATTTTGAAGTCTTCTAAGGGTTGTGTATGTGGTGGTATGTGGTGCAGGAAAAGTTTGGCTTTCCAAAAGCCTGCAGGCTGATCCCAGTCCCTGGTTGTGAAGGCCACCCCCGTCCTCTTCCCCCTCAGCACTTCTGGCTTCTTGCTTTTGACAGCAAAGATGTCTTTCTCAAAATGAAAGAAGCGGGCACGTAGCTGAAGTATTTTAATTAGTGACACATTCGCTGGCTCTCAACCTTGCCAATCTCACTTTTTGCCAGCCAGCACCTCTCTGCCACATGCTGTCTCACAAAACTGAGATTGAGCGGTCCATGGCCCTTCGTGTTACAGCGTGTCGTGCTGTGGTCCCCTTCCTCATCGTTCTCCTCCTCCTCTCTATGTTGCCTAGGCTTCTTGGAGGACGCTGGCTCAGTTCAGTGCTGCGAAATGCAGCAACCCCTTTTGCTGAGCCATCCAGAGGTGGGCACTTGCTGCCTTTTGGAACTGGGATAGACGCTTTTAACACCAGGCAAATCCTTCAGAGCCTTCCTGTATACTTAAAAAAAGCCTTTTATGTTCTCCCGCTGAAGTGCCAAGTAGCCCGCGTTCATCAGAGAGGCCGGCCGGGGGCTTTTGCGTTGGGGGGCTGCTTTTTGCCAAAGACTTTGAGGGCAATGATAGGAGAGTTTGACCAAACAGGCTTTTATCTTTCCGTTGCAGTGAGCGGCCCGTAGGCGCTTTGCTGCAGTCCATCAGGAGGCACCCGACATGCCTGTGCGCTAACACAAACAAGAAAGGTGACGCGTACAAAACGGAGCCCCACTACGTTGTGTATTTAACATTTTTTTTCCACTGTTTTGGTCTTGTATAAAATATGTTTCCTGGTTCACAATATGTTTCCATGTGATCTCATTAACTCGTGCTCTAGGGCAGTTGGAAGTTACTGTTGAAATGTGATTTTAAGTTACTTTACCAATCAGATACACTGACCGTGCTTCCTTCCACCAAAAATACCTCTCGTTTTATGTATATGAAAGTGCTGGGCAACTGAGCACGGACGTCAACAGGATCACAGCCTACGCAACAGAAACTATGTTATTTTAAATCTTTCCAAAAAAATTGGTTAAGAATTTGTCACAACAGAGCTGGATTTTTTTCCTGTTATTTTACACATCTGTTCTATTTCAAACGCGAGGGCTGCAGGGGTGGGTTCCAACAAACAACTCGGGCTCCAAAATCTACCCGGTCATAATGATTTTGAGATAACCAGATTTGATTACCTCCTCTGTCTCTTCCTGAATACGCGGTACGATTTTCATCAAAAGCCAGCGTGCCTTGGAAAATCACTGACGCCTTTCCCTCCCTCCCCTGCACTCCCATCTCGTTGAGGGTAGGAGGGAGCAGGTTCAGGCAGACCGTCTGCCGGTGCTGTCTCCTTTTCCGAGGTTTCATAGGTGGCATCAGTCTAAAAGGGAAACTGCTTTTTTGTTGGTATTGTTTCTAAAATTGATGATGTTTTTCATTTGTCGTAATTACAGCTTGATCCGCTTTAGGCTTTTCAAGTCCCAGAGCAAGAGAATAATAAGAGTATATAATAAGAGTGTAATAATGCCTGCCTTAGCAGAGGCACAGTCTTTCTGTGCCTCATGCTTCTTTTGGTTGCTTACGAGGACTGTGAGCTCGGAGGCTCAGCCCAGTCCCCAGGCTCTGGGCTCTTCGGGGCAGCTTTGGGCTCACACATCCCCCTCAAGGGCTATGGACCGGTGACTCTATTCGTGCGTGGGATTCGGCATGCAGGTGCTGAATGTTGCAGGACGGGGTGGGAGGGCAGAGCCCGATCCCGCAGCTGAGGCTGAAGCTGCACAGGTTAACCCAGGTCTGCTGGGGGATTTGTCTGTGGTGCTTTGGTTGCAGCCCACGGCCTCACACCAAATCTTTGGAGGTAGAAAATATTTAGAGACCAGGCAGAGATTTTCAGGGGAAGCTTTGGAACAAACCCTGAGGTAGTGATGGGAATCGTACCTTTTCCAGACCAAACTGGGTTACCTAAATGTACCAGTCTGCCTCAAAAACTGCTGGAGGTAAATCATTACGTGGAGAGTTGAGAGATGGTCTTTGTGAAATTCTACTTCAGCTTTTAGCTCCAGGGTCTTTTTTTGTTTCAGTATTTATGCATTGTGCTGTCTCACTCAAATGCAAGAAGTTTCTGTCTGTAGTCCCTCTTTTATAGTTAATGTAGCAAATAGTTCACAAAGAAGCACTCTACCAGGCAGTTATTGTACGAGCAGGTGATGCTCTGTGTTTCTCAAGCCCTTGCTGCCTCAGTTGTGTTCCTTTCTGTGACATTTCTCCATCACTCCTCAGTGCTGTGCAACGCAGAATCTCTCACTGGCAAAATGTCAAAGGCAAAATAGAAGTACAGGACTGGACTTCTGCCCTTGGTATGGAGGCAGTGCTAGTGACTATTTCCAAAACTAAAATCCCAGTTTTATTTTTTACCCGCTCATTAGCATATCCCAAATCATCCTATATTACGACAAAAAGTACAGGCACTCATGAAAGTGCCAGATTTCTGAGTATCTTACACATTTTTTATGACTTCCTCTTTAGCTGCTGTATTTGACTAAACACAACCTGAAATTTCCTAGAGACAGTTTCTTACTCGTTGAAAAGTAATGCACTCTAGTTATTTCAAGTGTCATCAGTTGAATCTGAGAAGTGTGTTGGCCTGTAACACTTGACTTTTCATTAAATGTAGTGTTTTTTGGGGGGAGGGGGAAGAGAAATGGTTGGGTTTGTTGGTTGGGTGTATGGCATGTATGAGGTCTACCACACCAAAAGGAGGTTCCAGGAATAGACACCCAGTTCCAGGTGGCTTATAAAAGCTCCCTACTGTATTTTCTTGTACAGTTTATTTTTTTTTTTAACTGTTGAAAGCCACATTTTCTTTAGCTGCAGTCTTCTTTTTCAGCCTGGAAAATAGACATACATGTTCTTGACCTCACAGGCATGGGGTCATGTAGTTTTACATATGGAGGCTGTAGTTTGCACCCAGGGAATGTATGGCTGAATACCTGTCTACCAGTTCCAAAAGCACATTTGGCTTTTATCTGCATCAACGGACTTGTTTATTTCTTGTGGATTCTTTGGATTCCACTTTTGTAACTGTGACAGTATTAAACTCAAGCATGCAAAGATTGTTCATTGTGGCCCCAAACCATATGATTTTCTTAAAAACCATGATTTTAAAATGTTGGGTATTTTTTCCTTCTTTCTTTTGATTTTTGGACCTTTCAGATACTCACTTGATAAGTGGTTTTTTTGTTTGTTTGTTTGGGGTTTTTTGTTTGTTTTTTTTTTTTGAAATAGGTGGTTTGGTCCAGATCATGAGATAGAGGACAACCTTAACTTGGGAGAAGTTGAGTTTCTCAAGAAACTGGGGTTTTCCAAAAGTGGAAAAGGGCACAAGCTGTCTTAAGATGAGATAGTCACTGGTGCAGCAACACCGGATTTGCTGACCTGTGCATTGATGGCAAACTTGTGTGTTTAGGGCAAGCGAGAGGAAGTTCCTTAGACAAAGCAAAGGCAGGGCTGTCTGGGCAAGACCCAGTGAAAGGGGGACTTGTGGCTGAGCATCGGTGACCATCTCCTGGGACTCGTTAGAGTTAATTGAGAGGCGGGAGGAATGGACAGGGAAGAGCCTGCAATGCCTCTAACCTTTTTCTCTTTCCTGCTGTATTCATGCCGGATGGGGATATTTGGATGCTTCAACAAGTTCAGTTTGCCACTACGTAGCAGCGGCTTCTGATTATGTTAGGTTGCTGTACCATAGGGCTGAAGGCTGCTTGGAAGCCTGTCTCAATGAACGGATTTTTTTTGTTTATTTGTTTGATTTAATCCTCCCTACACATTCTCCTGACTGTTTTCCAGTTCATTCAAACGCCCCTGTGAGCATCTTACTAATGGCCTTCCTTCACTAGCTCGTTTTAGCACCATGTGATTCTAAATTCAGAATGAGCAGAGATGCGATGCCAGCCACTTGTTATCTCCATTCCCGTGGCAACAGTTTCTTATTCTTCATCTAAGCCAACAAATGCAAAATCTCCCATGCAAATCGATCTCTGAATGTGAAATTTCGGGACGGTAGTGTTAAGTATTATCTGGGAGTATGACGACGACTCACATTTTCAGACTTCAGCGTGAGGAATTCCAGTGCGCCGCATGCACTCCACGGAGGAGCTACTTGCTCGGCATGCCAGCAAAATACAGCCAAGTCTGGGGTGGGACACAGCATCTATTTTAACAGCTCGCAGCCAGATTGCTCAGTTGTCAGACAGGAAATTAAAAAAAAAAAAAAGAAAAAGAAAAATCTACTCATGTTAACTCATAGATGAAATATAAAGCAGGTATATTTTTCTGACCACAGTCAAGTTGGTGGACATGTAGGCATCATCATCGTTTTCTTACTCTTCCAAGAAACACTCAAGGATCTTTAGCATGCATCTGCTTCGATGTGAGATACAGGCAATAAATAATAAATCGTAACCATATTTGCATTTGGTGCACAGTTGGAGCAGGGGCAAGCGAGCAGCCTGGTAAAAGTTTCAGCAGCCCTGTGGTTTCTCTAGTTTATGTTTTTTGCTTCTAAAGGAACACTCCCTGTTAGAAAAAAGAGGTTTAGTGCGGGGCACCCAAGTCTGCCACACTCCTAAGTCACTTACGTTACTTTGGGCGCTGAAACACACTTACCACCCTGCTCATCCAGGCAGTGGTTATGCCGCTGTGAGGCAGCTTTCTGGGGCAGATGACTCCGTGCTGGGGTACGTGGCCAGTGAGCAGAGTTGTTAGTCCCTGCGCGAGACTGGCAGTTGTTCTGACGTCTTTTGCACAGCAGCCGAGTTAAGGACAAAACTGTCTGCAAACCTCTTTTTCAAGTGGCCTTGGGCTTCTAGTAGCGTAGAAAGTTGTAATGGTAATTTAATTCCCAAATGCATAGCAGTCATGTGAAAATGGGGCTTAAACACCTTTGGAAAATTTAGTAGAAGTTTTTGGCTTTGTTTCCTCCCTGTCTATATTCCAGTGTGCTGCTTAGTATCCTTCTTTCTTTCTTTCTTTCTTTCTTTCTTTCTTTCTTTCTTTCTTTCTTTCTTTCTTTCTTTCTTTCTTTCTTTCTTTCTTTCTTTCTTTCTTTCTTTCTTTCTTTCTTTCTTTCTTTCTTTCTTTCTTTCTTTCTTTCTTTCTTTCTTTCTTTCTTTCTTTCTTTCTTTCTTTTTTTTTTTTTTTTTAGTTTGATAAATCTTTCTGCTAAAGGCAGAAGTCAGCCAGACTGGATAATCTGTTTTTGATTTAATCATATTGTGTATCTGGTGTATGCAAAATAAATCACTATTCATCTGTTTTGTAATCTGATTTATGTAGGACGGAGTTACATTGAGCGAGTTTTCTACAGCCTAACACCAGGTTTTGTGAACCAGCCTTGAAACAACCATCCCTCATTACAGCATTTAGGAGGGCTACAGTTAGATTTATTGTGGCGTAGAAAGGAATGGGACATGTTTTCAGTTGGTGGAAAATTCGATCTGAGGGAAATACACTGATGTACATTTGATAGGAAGACTGCGTAAAGACCTTTTATTTCTCTTCTTGACCCCTGTGGAGGGGCGCTTCTCCCCTGCACGTGATGCTGGCTAGATGAGGTAGTTTGGGCCTTTTCAAATTGATAACGTTTATTTGCAGCAACCAGATTCGATTTTACCACTGCACCATTTGCTTGGTGACTTTTTCCTTTAACCATGTTTAGCTGCAGGAAATTAAGTGCATGATGAAGATAACCTAACATAGGAAATAGCTCTGACAGCCCCAGCCCATGACACTGTTAAATGCATCACTCTGCTTCCTTTATCAGGAAAACTGCCATTAATTGTCAATTTATAATTGGGCAGGTGGTATTTTGGAATAGATTTGGTGATAGATTGCAGGCTAACAGCAAACTGTATTTTTATTTTCAGGCTTTATTTGAGAACATTCATTTTACAACTTAATTATACTGACATTTTCAGGTGCTGATTTGAAAGGGGGTTTTGTTGGTTTTTTGTTTGTTTTTTAAATAGATGTAATTAGTTGTGGAACTGTTACTCACTTCCATGTATCTTTAAAAAAATCCCTCTTCACTTGAGGGCTACATGATTCCAGTCAGAGTTGTCCTTTTTAATTAAGTGTTCAAAGTTTTTAATCTGATAGATATTGTGTCCTCAGAAAAAAAAAAAAAAAATCCATCAAGTGAGAATTTACTGAAAACCAGAAACATCTGTTTAAAAATGTGTGCTGATCATCACCAGGAGAGACACAGCTGTTTTGCTCTGCTCTTTGTCATTTATCATTAGTCAAATATGGTTTATCTAGAAATTTTTTTTGAGATTTTTTCAGACTAAAGTATGTGTACCTAACGTGCTAGGCAAAGTATAGCAGCTATATACAATGGCCAATTGCCTGTAATTTTTTGTCGACTCTTCACTCTTTGTGTGATGAGTGTCTAGTAGCAGAAGAGCTCTTCTTTGCCCCCGAGGTGGGTCCTGGCCGTTCTTGGGGAAAGGCTTGCACAGGAGCTTAGAAGATGTGGCAGTGTGCCGCTAGTGAAGGCTGTGGCTCCCATGCATTGGGGATGGTAGCCAAATTCAGGATTTGTCTCTGACAAGGTCTTGCCTCTGCAGAGAGGGCCTCTCTGGCTCCTGCTGGATCCAGATGTTCGTGGGAGCTGGGAGCCCTCACAGAGGCAACGTCTTTCTTTTGGATGAGCTCCCATTTAGGCTGAGCTGGGAGCTGTATGGCTACTTTCTTCTGTACCCCGCTGTTATTTTTGAGGATGCTCCATGTCCTGAGGGCTGGAGAGCAGAGTAGCTGGAAGTTTGGCACTTGTGACTCACCAGTGAGCCGTGCAGGGGGAGCAGGGGGTGCCTGAGGGAGCGAGGGTGGTCCTGGTTCTCACCCGGGGCTGGGACTTAGGGGTTCTAGTTGACCCCTGTAATGCATCTCGTGGGTGTCTATAGGCATTCAAATCACATGGCTCAAACTGGCAAATTTATAAGCCGTGAGGAAAGATAATGTAGAGAAACTTAGCACCACCTGAAGTCCCGTTGGTGTATATGCACATGTACACCAGCGGATAGGAGTTAAGTATGCTGGTGATAAAGGGCTGGATAAGCACTCAAAAAAAAAAAAAAAAAAGAAAAGGCAAACCAAACAAACAAAAAAAGCCAGTGCGAGTGGTTATAGCCTCTGGGAGTAGGAGACAGCAGAGATGCTTTGGGGGATGCGAAAGCTGTAATATCGGTGGAGCTGAAAGTGGGCTGGGATACTGTGTAGATCACAGGGATGGTAAAATGAAGTCTCCAGCTGAATACGTGCTCGTAATATATGCATCCAGTGCAAAAGCTCTTTTGCATCCTTTCCTTCCCAGCTAGTCCATGACAGCCATGATTCATGCTGCTCAGACTGTCCTTGCACCAGGGCTATACCAGGGAGGCGGAGAACCAGTAAAACCCCAGTAGCCAGCCTCCTCGCAGACTGGGGCAAGAGCTAATTAGCCCTTCAGCTTGCTTGTCTGCACCGTGCAACGGGATGAGCCCTCTCACCGTGGCAGGTAGCTCCAGTCCGTAGAGACAACAAAGGTTCAAGGACTGTGATTTGCTGCTTGCTGGTGGTCTTCTCCAGGCTGATGTGAGAGGGAATAAATTTTGATGTAAGAGGACAGCGTGGTAGGTTGCGGTTGTGCCGTTTAACTACTTGTAAAGGCTTTTGAAGGACACCTGATGATGAGAATTCACCAAAGGAAAGAATGTACGCTAGACATAAAATTAGGGTTTTCATCATGAATCTTTTTGCTTCGATTTTAAGATCAATAAATTCGTCTCAGGCCTAACACTGTTTCTACAGTGCTTGTTTGTTTCTTTTTCTGTTTTTTCAACCCAAAACGTCAACTTGGCATTTCTTACAGCCAGGCCTTCCTGACTATTTTCAAGTGTGGTTTTACACTGGAATTTGGTTTTTAAGAAAGACACTTCCCCACCATCGCCTGTTGTCGGGCCTGCTTGCTTGTGTGATGGTAATGAGTCCATAATATTTTAGTTAATTGCAGAGTCAATACAAGG